CTCTCTCTCTCTTATTACTCATCAATTACCATGATCATTATCACTTTCATTATTATCATTACTATCCTCCTCCTCCTCCTCCTCTTCCCTTTCCCTTTCCATCTCCTCATCCATCTTACCTGAAGATTCGTTTTCCAACCAGAACCAAAACAGTAACAACAATCACAGAGATACTGGCCAGCAGAACAATGATCCCAATCGGTATGGAATCTGTAAAGTTTTAATTTGCCAGTTTATGTTTCTGTTATTGGAATGTGTTACTGATCAACGTACAGATAAAAGTATTGATGAAATAAGCGTTACATGGCGATTATTAGAATCAAATCGAGGGCAGTAATTTAACACGTTAAGATACGAAGCACGGTCCATGCTCGAATTTAACACGACGTGATAACGAGGGAGGAGTGCTTCTTTCATTTTCACTTGTCATTACTGTTTATTCTATTCATTCACTTATTAATATCTATTTTTAAAGAAGCAAATGCCTTCGCATCTTTCCTTACAGACCTTTTCCTATACTGTATGTCGTGGTAGACCAGTCCGAATAACCGCTTCGGTACAGGAGTCGAAGACATATGGTATAGTTGGTGTCCCGCTGCAATTCGTGTTTCGGAATCTGCAATTCGCTCGATATTTGAGCTGAAATGGGAAGTAGAAAAAAATTGAATAGTTAGCATGTTAATGTGCTACAGTGTATATCAGTGGCGGAGCCCCGGGGGGATGGAGGCGTCCGGACCCGCCTCTTTTGAATTCCCTCATTCAGTGATACAAGTTTTTACATTTGATTTGAAACTTTCCGCCTTTTAGTAACAAATGTTTTCAAACATTTCCTTAATTTCTGGACAATGGAATTTAAAACAAACTGAGAGCTCTTAGTATTGAAAGTGGAAATTTTCGAATGGAAATGATAACCTGAAAAACTTATGCTGATTCAAATTTCTGTTAAATAAAACACTAGTAAAAGAAAAGAGCGCTTCACTTAAGTTTTTAGAAGGGCGTTTCCTCGAGGAAAAAGGGCGTAGACGTTGAGACTACATTGGACCCCCACCTTTTTTTAGGCTGGCTCCGCGCTGTTACAGCACAACCGTTTAAGTTTTGTAATGATTACAGCGCGCGCGTAGGTGTGTGTAGGCGTGTGTGCCTGTGTAGGTGTGTGTGTGTGTGTGTTCAGTCAGTTCAGTTAGATTTGTGAAGTCATGCTTCGCCCGGGCCTTTTCTCTGGAGTGACCTGGTCTGTGTTAACTATTTCTAGTTAATTCATGTGTTTTCTTTGAACTGTATGCTTATCGTGGTGGCTGAATTGCGAGCAAGCGATCCAGCTGCCACGGAGTAAGCATGTGGCAAACCCTTTTTACCAGCCCGGCGGCAGTGGTGGGTGTTAGAAATTGTGTTCACAATTCTGCAAGTAATGTAACAGGGTGGCGTTAGACTGGCCGCAGTGTTTGCATAACCTGGCAATCTCGTCATCAATAATTTGCCAAGCGCATGGGTAACCTAGTCTTAGTCTGTGTAGTATGACTTCGGTGCCTCTTTTTGTATTTGGAGGAAGGGCCAGTGGCTCATAGCCTGAAGCATCTGAGAGTACCACTTGGCAGCGAGCGATTTTGTGATGTTTTCTCTATGTGCTCCGCGGAGGACCGCACACGCTGCAGCTTTGGTACCTTGGCTTAGTCTCCTTCGGCTGGTTTTAACGATCATGGAGGATGGGGGCATACCCACCCCCTTTTCGGCCAGTTTGTCAACAAGCTCGTTCCCTTGAATGCCAATGTGGCTTGGGATCCAGTTAATGATAATTCTTCTACCCTGACTGAGAATTCTTTGGGTTATGGTTAGTACAGATGTCAGGAGGTAGATGTCTTGGGGCATATTATGCTGTAAACTGTCAATGGTTGCTCTAGAGTCTGTGTGAATGACCACGTGTCCAACCCTTAGGGACGCGTGTGTCAGGGCTTCCATGATTGCAACCGTTTCAGGTTGGAGCGTTGAGGCATTGTCAGTGACCCTAATGGATGCTGTGTATCCCTTGTTGCGAAGCCGGCGCCTGCAGTGTGGTTTATGGGATCCACAAATCCATCAGTGTAGTAGGTTATGCTACCCGGGGGAATTATTTGAGCAATGACCCTTTGTGTTTGTGCCTTTAGGCTTTGGAATATTGATCTTTTCTCATTGTAAGGTTTAGGATTGAGAATTCGATCATTTCGTTTGCCCACGGCGGGGGTTCTTTGTAGTCAGGGTGAGGGGAGTCCATGCCCTTGGCAAGCAGTGATTCTTTTAGCTGAAAGAGTATCAATACTCTGGCTGCGTGTGTGAGCCAAGAGTTGTCCACAAACAACTGATAGTCTAGTTGTAAGCGGCTGAGTACTCTTTGCCTTAAGTATGAGCTTCTGGGTGCCTGCAAGACCTTGGAAAGGAACTGCGCTGCCATTAGTTCAATTCGGGTGTCCAGGGATGGTAAATCAGCCTCCATGAGGAGGTTGATGACCTTTGTCCATCTGTGCACTTCCAGAATGATCCTGGCAGCTTCATTTTGTATTGTTTCCAGTTTTTTTTTAATGTTGTGCTGGAAGCAATGAGGGCGACAGAAGCGTAGTCAATAATAGGTTGGACAGCATGTACACAGAATGATCTTAGTACTTTGTGTCCTGCTCCTATGTGTCTTCCTATCATGACTGACAGTCTTTTCTTGGTTCGGTTGAGCAGGTGTATTGGATCTCCTTTTTGAAAGTGTGTCCTATCCATACACCAAGATATAAGTAGTCTTTCACCCGTTCCAGATCCATACCCTGAACAGTGAGTCTTTTGTTTTTGACATTAGTTGTCAGAGCCATAGCTTATGAATTTGCTGCCGATATTTTTAGACCCGTCCTACAACACTCTTCAGACACTAGATTCAGGCAATGCTGAGCTCTAGTTAGGCAGTGGTTGCCAGAGGCTATGATTGCCAGGTCATCAGCATAAGAGATGATCTTGCATCCCTCTGGCAGGTGAATGTCGAGTATGTTGGACATAAGGGTGTTGAAAAGGGCTGGACTGAGAACCCCACCCTGAGGTGTTCCATTCTCAAGTGGCATGTGCTGTGAGAGGTGGCCTTGAAATCTGACATTTGCTGATCTATTTTTAAAATAGTCAGCTATCCAGGCCAAGAGTCTGCCTTTGACTCCTTTGTGGATTAAGGTGTCCTGAATGGCAAGGGGGCTTGCCAGTTCAAAAGCCTTCTCCAAGTCTAGGAAGACAACCACACTGGGTGAGGTGCATATTGTGCTTAGGAGTGTTTGAGATGCTGTGTGCTGTGCTCTTACCCCTTGTGAACCCGTGCAGGTGTTCCTGAGGGGGTCCCGTTTTCCATCGGAGCCTGTTGAGTACCATCTCTGCTGTTTTTCCTAGGCAGCTAAGAAGAGAGATGGGACGGTACTAGCCATGCTCCTTTGGTTTAAGGATGGGAATTATTGTTGTTTGTTTCCAGCTCTGGGGCACCGTGGCGGTTTGCCAGGATTTGTTGAAGGGCGGCAAGAATGCAAGCTCTCCTGCCAGACCTAAATGCGAAATGGATCTCCTGGGAGATCCCATCAGATCCCGGTGCTGATCCAGAGCTGGTTTTGTACGACTTTCTTAGTTGCCCAAGAGAGAACAAGGCATCCGTGTCATCGGGTTCAAGTGCCTTGTCTCTGATAAGAGCAAGCCTACCTGGATTTAAGTTTTGTTGTTTATCCCTCAGCACTGGAGGCAGGTTGTTGCTGGTTCTAGCTGAGAACTCAAGCACCAGTCAGTGAGCTTCTGACTGTGGGTCATGATGAGTGTATTTCGGTGCTTGGCGGCTTGTCGCTTGCCTGACCCGTTTCCACAACTCTGTAAGGCTGATCTGGTGTCCAAAAGTCTGCCTTACTCGGCAGTTTCCTTGGTATCCGCAACAGCTTCCCTCAGGAGGGCAAGATTGTCGGGAGTTCTTTGCCGTCGGAAGTTTTTTCTGCACATGTTGACTCTGTGGTTGACCTCTTTAATCTCGTCATCATAGCACCAGGCGTCTCTGTGAGTTCTGGACCATGGACGAGTTTTGGGATGGTTTGTGATGCGGCCTGATTTATGGCCTGGATTAGCCTTGCTTCTAGCACGTCCACATATTCACTATTGTGGGGTTCATTGTCTCTCAGACAGCGGGCCAAGCCTTTCTGGTAGGCTAACCAGTTGGCCTTGTCTGTTTTCCATTTAGGAATGTGATGTGGTCTTTGGGCTGGACCTGCATCCATGAGGGTGGTGACTATGAAATAGTTATCACTTGTAACCGTATCATCGATACTCCACCGAATTCTCACTACCATTGTTGCAGTGGCAAAGGTAAGGTCTACCACATGCGTTGGTTCTTGGGTGTTGAGAAGAACAATCTCTGGGAATGTGTCAAGCACCTCTGCTATATGAATGCCTGCCGCGTTCGGCCTTTTGCGGGGATTCAGCATGGCTATGTGTACATTGAAGTCTCCCCCTATGATCACTCGGTCTTGTGCTGCAGTAGCACAGACCTGGTATAAATCTAAGCACTCACACAGTGGTTTACTATATACATTGTATATTTTTAGAGGACCCCCAGGCAGATGTATCTCAACAGCAAGAGATTCAACGCCATCTCCATAGTGCGGCGGGTTGGCTATTAAGGAGCACGGGATTGCTTCTTTTACCAGTGTCATCAGGCCTCTAGCGCCATCCAGGTTAGGAGTGGCGAAGACGTGATAGCCTGAGAAGCGCACAGATCTTCTGGAGCATGACGACGTCAATGCTCTTTGCTCACACTATTTACTGGAGAAAGGAGATATTCCACTGCAGAATGCTTAGATTGTGTGCCATGATGGTTACTCAGAGTCACTTACATCATACTCATCTCCAGCTTCAGAAGCCCCAGTGCTGGTGGCATCTGATATGTATAGATCCTCGTTGATTGAGGATCGTACATCTTCCTCCAAGTTTGGCACTCTGGTTAAGGGTCTACGGGAGAAGTAGAGCCTAGGTTAGAGGTGCCACCTCGAGTCAAGGGACCAGACCTTGGCCTGTAGTGAGGGCATCTGCTGCACAATTTCAGTCTGTCTTGACAGACTAGCTGGGGTTTCACGTGTTGCTTCTCCCGTGTGTGTGTGTGTGTGTGCAAGGTCTATATAAGTACAGGTCTCGTCACGAAGCGACTCAAATTCGTCCGTCTCGCGCATGACCTCACTAGGAGGCAGAGCCTAGGGGTTCGACGCTAATCGTGTGGTTATTCTTTGATGTGAGGTAGATCCGTAAGGATCTCTCCTCCGTTTTCGCTCACTTGACTGAGTGGCTCGCGCAAAGCTACAATGCCCGGTGGTTGGTTACAGCTTATATATGTACATGTATGTGTATGTTTATGTATTGCCATTATTATTATTATTATTATGCCATGTCTTCTTTATTTATTTTACGCCTTTATTATGCCATATCCAAGCTGCAACATGAGAATTACAAAAATAAATTAATGTAGAATATATGATGTAGGCCTATAAACAATCGCTGATAATCATCGACTGTGAAATCTGTCCAATTTGCAAATCGTTCAATGTGCCGACATCTAAAATTACTTAAGTATCTGCTCATTTCCTACCGTTTCTATTATCTCTCTCCCACCCTACTATGCTGTAATCCCCCCCCCCTCCCCTGCTCTCAGCTCTCTCCTAGTGACGTCATAGGCCTTATCACCCAAAGCTGCGCAGAACTCCGAAGTGACGAGACATGTACTTATATGCAAGGTCTATATAAGTACTTATATAGACCTTGCTTATATGGACCTTGTGTGTGTGTGTGTGTTCGCGCGCGCGCGTTTACGTGTGTGAAGAAGAGAAAGGGATAGGATGAACAAAGCCTTAGTAATTAGGCACTCTTGGACTTTTATATTAACCAAAGGCTACACACGTCTTAGCATGTCTATTATTGCAAATAAAACTTGTTCCAGTTTATGGGAAAATAATGGCCGTGATACAAGTTATTAGTGATGATTTCAGTGAAGCAAATAACTACTTAATTGAAAGATACTTAACATTAAAAGCAATAAGCCTCATAAAACAGATTACATTTAGCCAAGAAAATGATATTTACAACTGCAGTTGTGTTGCTTTGGTCCCCACGAAGCCTCGGCCTTCTCCACTATCCCCGAGCGGTTGGTGCAGGACAGACTCCAGCTCAAAATTACGCTCTCGTCCGTTTCTGTAATCCTTCAAACAAAAAACAAAAACAAAAAATATTGGAATTTCAACAGTTTGCGAAAAGTTCATATGTCGCACTGTGCTTAAGATATCACCTGCTTTGCGTACGATAACTCAATTTACTCGATAACAGGTGATTTTGGTTTGCTGTCGTAGTCCTGCGGGCGGGCGCACGTGTCCCACGCCATGCCGCTGGATTCCCGTGCCTCGTTCTCGGCCGACAGAGCGAAGCGCGGTTTCGATGCGCTCTGGCTGATGTTCATTTCTTGCAGGGTGATGTTCACGGCTGATGTTCTTCCTACACCTTTCCAGTACAGATTCCCCTGTGGGAATACGTAACAGTTCATTACGAGTTCGTCTAAGACAACGCTAAATGTTTACTTGATAGAAATACATGTTGCCGCACACTTTTCGGTAGTCCAGTGCATTATTAACGGGAAACGACATCCTCAAATGATAATTGCATGAAATATTAGGAATCAGCAACTTAATTTCCACTGGTTTTACGGTGCACTAACACCGTACACCTAGCAACTTGTAGGTGACAATGAAATATTGCCTGTTACCTTGCAGTCTTTGCTGGAGGTGTCGTCGATGCAAACATAAACTGTGTAAGTGTAGTTACTTTCTCCTTCCCATCTGTAAAAGAATATAGTGCTGCCGATATATGTGTACTTAATGAGCTGAAAATATATTTGCTAATTTGTTTTGTATTACTGCAAAGGATATTAGACGTAAAATACGTTTGACCGTAGTTATTATCATAATTATTGTCATCATCATCACTATTTTAATTACTGTTAATATCCTTATTAGAAGTAGTATTAATATTATTAATTCTATATTGTTATAATTATTATTGTATTTATGATTATTGTTATCACCATCATCGCTATCACCATCATTATTGTTATTATTATTATTATTATTATTATTATTATTATTATTATTATTATTATTATTTATTTATTATTATTATTATTATTATTATTATTATTATCACTATTATCACTATTATCATTATTATCATTAACATTATTATTAGTATTATTATCATTATCATCATCATCATAGTTATTATTATCATTGTTATCATTATGATTAGTAGTAGTAGTAGTAGTATACTGCTACTACTACTGCTACTATCATTATCATCATCATCATCATCATAGTTATTATTATTATTATTGTTGTTGTTGCTGTTATCATTGTCATCATCGTCATAGTTATTAATATCATTGTTATTATTATTATGATTACTGTTATTATTATTATTATTATTATCATTATTATTATTATTATTATTATTATTATTATTATTATTATTATTATTATTATTATTATATTATTATTATTTTATTTATTATCATTATCATCATCATCATCATAGTTATTATTCTTAATACTATTATTATTATCATTATTATTATTATCATTATTATCATACTTATTATCATTGTCGTTACTATTATTATTGTCACCATTATTGTTATTATAGCTGTTATTATTATTATCATTATCATTTTCATTCTCTTCACCATCATTATCCTTATTGTAGCTATTATTATCATTATCATCATTATCATTATTATTATTATAGTTATTATCATTACTCTCATTATTATTATTAGTAGTATAGTATTATTGTTTTATTATTATCATCATCATTATTATTATTATTACTATTATTATTACTAATTCTATCATTATCATCTTTATTATTTACCATTATTATTTATATTATTTATCATTAGTATTATTATTACCATCATCATCATTAATATTATTATCATCACTATTATTGTTATCCTTATTATCATTATTATTATTATTATTATTATTATTATTATTATTATTATTATCACTATTACCATTATTGTTATTATTATCATTATCATTATTATTATCATTATCACTGTTATTGTTATTATTATTATTATCACTATTACCATTATTGTTATTATTATCATTATCATTATTATTATCATTATCACTGTTATTGTTATTATTAGTCATTATCATTATGATTTTATTTGTTATTATTTCTATTACTACCATAATTATTACTATAATCATCATTATCATCATTATTATTATCGTTTTTCTTATTATTATTATCATTATTATTATTATAATTATTATTATTATTATTATTATTATTATTATTATTATTATTTATTATCTATCATCATCATTATTATCATTACTATTATGTAAAATTTGAATAGGCTTGTTACCACCCTGTATCTCAAATTTTTCTTCGATTATCTTAGCATCTTTAAACGTTGACTCAAATCCATTTATTTTCTAGTTATGACTAACCCTTTGATATATTCCATATCACTTTGACAGCCTTTAGCAACTTTCGCAATAGCATGCGTTAAATTCGCAGTTCCTCTGAAAATAACTTCGGAATGATTCACTTAACTATATAGCTTATATTCTGTTTAACTTTGAAAAATACTCATATTCGACCAGAAATGAGTCACACAATTCTATAATTTGGACTAGAAACAGCCTAAATTAGGCGAAGTAAATAATAAATCGGTTATTTAGTCCATTTACTCGCTACAGCAAATCACTCGGAACAAAAGAACAGTCCAGTACCTGAGTTCATACTGTTTTGTGGTTCTGTGGAAGACGACAACAGACAGGGCGGGAGCGAGTGGTAATTTTTCGTTGATATCTATATGTGACGTTTCGTTACTGGGTCCTTCGGTATTCTCAGGCTTTATAGTCACCCTGGAAAATAGGTTTAAATGTAGGTGATGTAAATGCAAATATATGTACATTTGTATTTGTGTGTTTGTGTATGCATGTGTATTATATATGTGTATGTTTCTGCGTAAGTTTAAGGGTACTGGTGAAAAGTAATCACTTTCATGGACATTTCTTAATACATTTATACATTTTCCTATAATTACCTGTATGAACCAGTTGGTAGGTTTGGGAAAGTTGCCATTGGCTCAGTAGTGTTGACAATCTTGCTGAAATGGACAATGATAATGATAATACTTTCTGATGAACATTTTCTATTTATTTTACGCGAAAGAAGGAATCAGAATGGAGTAATTATAATCACAGCTGGCGAATATTAGCGTTAACACCAGCATAACTAACTACTACCAATCGGAATTAACACAATTTACATTATGAATATTAGCCAAAGATGATTTGATGACTCTAATCCACCTTCATAATAGTATAAGAACAATATTCCATAATTGCCAACAGATTTATTACTGGTCATTGCATGAGGTTTTATCACAGCCAAATACAACTTTAAATCTGCAATAAAATTCCGAAAGCTGCGAGGAAGTATCTCTACAGATCACTCTCATCACTTTCGGTAATGCATATATATATATATATATATATATATATATATATATATATATATATATATATATATATATATATATATATATATATATATATATATATATATATATATATATATATATATATATTATATATATATATATACATCTGCATTTAGTATCAGTTTGCACAAAACCTCATTCCAGTCCCTATTCACCTGTAATTCGAGCACATCACCACATAGCGCAGGCCGGGGCCGTTGTGCAGCAGGGGGGGCAGCCGTCGCCACATCGCCGTCAGTTCCATGCGACTGGAGTCTGCGCTCCTGTTCACCCGAAAGGTCCCGACGTCCACCTCTGGGGCTGCCCACGGCGCTGTGGCAAGTGGTTGCATAGTCGGTGTATCATGAATTTCTGTGGTGCTGATATCATGAGGTAATATTGGTATGGCTCTTTATGTTGAATCGTTACTGTGTCGTATGCTATTGTATGTCCTTGTTGCGATGTATGGTACTTAAGGTTCACAATGATCTCTCTTTTAGCGTAGTAACAGATTTTCCTGTGAACCATCATGGTACTATTTTTCTTATATAAGGTTCTAATAAACATCGGAGTGCACAAATGAAAATAGTTGATACTTAACCACTCACTGTCAGAAATTACCTGCTGGCTTTATTTCGACTGCCTCGTGGACGGGTTCGGACGACCAGCCATCTTCCCAGTGGGCGTCGGTCGTGGCGTTCCTTCGTCCGGAGCGGAGTCGCAGCTTGATCTCGTAAGTGAGCCACGGGAACGGAACCTGGGTCTCCACTTCCCAGGTGCTGCTGTTACTGTATTTCCCCACTGTAGTCTGAGCCGGGGTGTGGAGAGATTTTAAGAGGCAAGTAATGAACACGATTAGAGACACGCTTGTCTGTCGCGGAAGTTATTGCATAGAAAGATAAATAGATCATGGAAGTTTTGTTATTCATGTTAGTATACGAATTTCCGGTTTAAATGTAGTCAATAATGTTATCACAAAGCACCTCACGTAATGCATTGCACATTCAACATGGCAACAAAATAGTGCACAATGAAAAAACAATACGCTTTCGTGAACAAAAAGCAATACCATGGTAGAAACAGAATGATTAAGACCGCGAAGATCTAATCGGTAGAAGAGCCCCGGCGGGAAGTTCCTCAGGGGAGAAGGTGACGTCCAAGTCACCGAGATCTTCATGGGGGACTTTTCTTCGACCGCAAAGTCTTCAGCAGGTTTTGGTAACACTGTAATTAAAAGACTGACAGGAATAGGTATTTCTCCCCAGTGACGGTATTATAGCTGTTAGCAGATTGCTGTCGGCTCTTTAAATGATACCTATCACATATACGAGTTGAAGTTAGCTGAGCGAATACCGAGTACCTACTTGCAGCCCAGTTGTCAATGGTATGGGTGAAGCTCGCGGGTCCGAGGACGTTCTCGGTACTGAAGATCAGCGGGGGGGACGGGTCCTCTGGCCTGTACCCGTTGCTGGTATTCGCCACGCACTGGTCGCGCCCGTAGTTGCAGTGCCTGGCGAAGTTTGTAAGCGTGGGCAACAGCACATGCAATCATTTCTGAAGGGGTGCGGATGCCTGCTTGGGACTACGCAGTTTCCCGCCCAAAATGGTATTGTATACTAAAGCCTATCTAGCCTCGTGTGATTTGTCATTTCATCATTTCATCAAATAACGAACTAAAACGGATTTTTAAAAGTAGATCTTTTTGTTTCCCTCCTTTAACACTCATGGCGGGGGGGGGGGGGGGCAAGGGGATACCTATTATTAGACCAGAGACAGGGAGTCCAAATTAAAGTTCAGTGTAAATCTAACAAAACCCCTGCCTCACCATGTCCTGTTGTAGAGGTAAGCCCCATAATCATTATTTTGGGCAGGGTTGTACGGTTGCCTCCACGAACAGTTCAAATACTCCAAGTTTGCTGATATACACGTTAAGTTCTGCACATCCGAAGGTGGATCTGTTGAGGAAACGCGTGTATAGTCCACAGTGCAGTAACATTTGGAAAATATGATGAACAAATGAAGAAATGGCACAGTTCGAAGGAAACGACTAAAAAACGGCCATTCTAAACTAGACATTTCGTGAGGTAACAAAGAAAAGGTCAAGGGCGCGATCTACCCTTTCCTGCAACATACGTGTGTTCACTGTAACGAGAGACGATAATAGAAATACGCATTCAATGACAAAAGAGAGAGAGAAAAGAAAAAAAAAAGGAAACAAATGGATAGAAAAAAATAATTAGACAGGCGATAGATAACAAGGTAGACGTGTAAATACAGATAAAGTCAGATAAAGAGACAACCAGACAGATAAGGACAGAGACATACACATCATACATACATAAACAAACAAAAGAACAAACGCGAAGACAAAAATTCACAAATAGACGAATATAAGCCAATAAAAATGAGTTCGCATAAATCAAAACATAACGTAAAAAACAAGACCAGTAAGTACTCACTCCCAACGCCTATTTTTTTAAAGGCATACTCGCTTTTGTTGGATGAATAGCATTTGTACATCAGTCCGAACTCTCCCAGCTTGGATTCCTTCAGATACACATCGATTTTTCCGTCGCCCAAAATCTGAAAAGCGAATTTCGTTGTGCAGGATCTTAATGGGTAAATCTGTACGTTTGAAGGGGAAAGGGAACGGAGAGAGGGAGAGAGAGAGAGGGGGGGAGGAAAGAGAGAATAAGAGAAAGGAGGAAGAAGAAGAGAAAGAGAAGAAAATTAACTATCCTTCACATATATTTATCTTATCTTTGCCCATGATGCTACGAGTCCCATGGAAAGTTACGCCATCTCAAATTTATCTCTTTTACGATGGTATTATCACTGATACTTTTCGCTACCGAAAGCCTCCATTTCCTGCGTGGTAAAGCCACTCCACGCCGTAGCAGTATCTTGGGAGCAGGGAAGGAAGCTGAAAGCAGGGTCATCGCGAAAGCGGCGGAGAGGGGCGCGGGGCGTTTTAAAGTTGCTGACAAGAGAGCGTCATTGGGTGTGGTCTTTGTGAACTAGACGTACCCAAAGATAATAGCAGCAAATTATCGCTATTGTTTTTACTTGTTTGTAACTTTCTTTGCGCTTAATTAGAGATAATTCGCATTTGTAGTAATTTGCCGACAAATACCGTGGTGGGGGGGGGGGGGAGGGGTCACCCCCGCCGTTCGCGACGGCCGTGGGTGAATATCATCATCAAAGAATAAACTTTGGAAAGCAAATGTGAATTGTTTTCTCTGTGTAGTTTTGTAGAGAAAACAAATCCACCGTACATATTTTTGCTAATCATATTTGTAGATAAATGTCTATTGGTTGGGTTTTATGTAACCTTTTGATAGACAAAGAATCAAAAGGGAAAAGACGTGAATTTAATATCAAATTGCTATCCCTTATGAAAATAATCTCACGTTATCAGCCATCGATATAATCAATCAAACTTATCATTTTATTACTTATTGGCATGAAGTTTAATCAATTAAGAACTATTATCTCCCACGAACACAACCCACTCACGTATGCAAAGGATTCGAATGAAACTGGTTAATACTATAATTATCTAAAGACAAGCTCCAAAAATGGGATCTGTTGTGTTTGTCTTTTTCGTTCTGTTTCATTGTGTACAGTGCGTATTTATCTTAAAAACACGTGTATATCGCTGGACTTTATTTATAAATGCAACTCTCCCCAGTTTCCAGTGATGATAATAATGACAACAATGACGGAAAGCTTAGGGAGGGAGGGAGAGGGACAGTGAGAGAGAGAGAAAGGGAGGGAGAGAGAGAGAGAGAGAGAGAGCGAGAGAGAGAGAGAGAGAGAGAGCGAGAGAGAGAGAGAGAGAGAGAGAGAGAGAGAGAGAGAGAGAGAGAGAGAGAGAGAGAGAGAGAGAGAGAGAGAGAGAGAGAGAGAGAGAGAGAGAGAGACAAACAGACAGACAGACAGAGACAGAGACACACGCACACACACAAACACAAAGAGAGATAGAGGGGGGTGGAGAGAGAGAGAGACAGACAGACAGACAGATAGACAAAGACACACAGAGAGAGACAGACAGACAGACAGACAAAGACAGAGACAGAGAGAGAGACAGACAGACAGACGTACACACAGACAAAGACAGAGAGAGGGAGAGAGAAAGGGAAAGAGAGGCAGACAGACAGACAGACAGAGAGAGACAAAGAGAGAGAAAAAAAGAGAAAGAGAGAGAGAGAAGAGAGAGAGAGAGAGAGAGAGAGAGAGAGAGAGAGAGAGAGAGAGAGAGGAGAGAGAAAGGGAGAGAGAGAGAGAGAGAGAGAGAGAGAGAGAGAGAGAGAGAGAGAGAGAGAGAGAGAGAGAGAGAGAGAGAGAGAGAGAGAGAGAGAGAGAGAGAGAGAGAGAGAGAGAGAGAGAGAGATTGAGAAAGGGAGAAAGGGAGGGAGAGAGACAGACAGACAGACAGACAGACAGACAGACAGACAAAGACAGAGAGAGAGAGAGAGAGAGAGAGACAGACAGACATACACACAGACAAAGACTGAGAGAGGAGAGAGAGAGAGGGGGGGGGCGGAGAAAGACGGGGGAAGAGAGAGAGGAAGAGAAGAGAAAATGAATCTGATCTCTGAATGGCGTCCGTCAGCATAGCACATACTGTAGACTTTAATTCGAAGAATCAGAAGGATCGCTTTTTCACGATGACGCTCCATTAGCCACACCCAACATAAATACTCAGCTGTATACAAAGGACTAGAAAAAGGTACCGTAAAATTTTGTCTGGTCCGCGTTTCGTTGAGGAAGACGATGAGACCAGACAAATCCGAACATCTTGGGGTAAGTCCTCCGTGCAGCTGGCATGCTTCTTCACTGTCTTTGTCTAAAATGGCGTGATGGACGCCATTGCTCGGGCACTCGTGAACTGGATTCTTTCCGTCAGCCCTCAGTGGTAAGGCGCTGCTGCCGTGCTGATGCTCGTCGGTTTGATCTTTGACCAGGTCAGGTGTGACCTTGGCCGACCTCGCCTCTCGAAATGCTCCGCTGACCCCGCACGCTGCCAGCACAAGGAAGAGAGGCCAAAATCTGCCCATAGCGTCGTCCTCGTACGCGCATAGGTCGACTGAATCTGTGAACAGGAACGAACTGTTATTTAATAGATGGTTGAGTACTTATGTGGATATTTCCCTCCTCAAGAAAGGATTATGTATTCGCTGACATTTACTACTTGGTTAGCTTTCTCAGCAAGGTAAAAGCTATTAGCGTTTTGTGATAATGATGCCCATGATAATGTTTATATGCCCGTGATTTGTGATAATGTTTATATGCCCGTGGCTGATTAGAAAGGTGATCCGGATCAGTGTTCGGACCAAGGATAAAACAAATCATCATAAAAGTTAACTCTGCCAGCAGATTATTTTGCTTTCAATGTAGGGTAGGCGTGCACTGTAAATTTAGATTCCTGGGCAATGTAAAAAGTTGTCTGAACGCCTTGTGAAGTCTTTGTCCTTTCTGGAAATGACAGTTTCATTATTGTTACGATTATTACCATAGGTATGATGATGGAACAAGTAAAACAATATAATTATGATAATGTGATAACGTTGACGATTGTGGTGGTGATGATGATGATGATTATGATAGTGGTGGTGGTGATGATAATGAGGAGGAGGAGGAGGTGATGGTAGTGGCTGTGAAGGATGATATATAGAACTGATAACCATAACAATTAACGATACCCAGAATTTACAGCGCCCTGACTTACACACAGGATTAACAAATATAGTTTTTTCACCATTCCCCACCATCATTCTTCCACTCCTCCATATTACCTTGTTACACGTCCGCCGCACCATCGCCCTGCCATCCGTCCACCACGCCATCCCCCAATCACACTTTTTGTACTATTTAACCACTTCATCATCATCATCCTTCTGTTCCTTTACCCTGTCACCCTGCCATTCTTCCCCCACGCTGTCATTCTGCCATTCGCCCACAGGCCATCACCCTGCCACCTCAGTGCCACCCTGCCATCAGTAATTACTTCCGCAGCCCTAAAACCGCCTTGTTAAAGAGTGTGAATGAACGCCTCCTGGCAGTGAGAGATCAGAAAATTATCATTCTAGAAATGGGTAGTTCTAGAATATTACTTTATTACTATAGTTAGGTTAAGTTTGATGAGATTGCTATTCAGTTGAGGCAGGGTTAAGTAAAGTTAGTTTATTGTTACTGGTCGTTTTAGGAGACCAAAGAAATACCAAAAGCAGCTTGGTGTTACAGTCCCTCGCATGTCAATCGTTACCTCCGCCAAGGAGGTTATGTTTTTGGTAGCGTAGGTTATTGGCTAGCAGGATAACAAAAGGTTACGAACAGATTCTTATGTTTTTACCAGAGGTGTTTTTTAGCCCAATTTAGATGTCACTAAATTTCAGTGGTGATCCGGATAATGATCTGGGTCCAGATTTTTTTTTTTTAATGACATTGCGAGATAGGGAAACACGGACGTCACCAGTTACTGTAGCTCTTCAAGCGTTAGCATTTTTATTGCAACCCTAATGCTCTGGCGGAGGTATGCACTCTCTGAGTTACTTCTAGGTATTTGTGAATTTGTTTTCCACAACACACGCTTTCTCTGAGATATTTGGCTTTCTTTTCTCCTAAGAATATGTTGTGGTGTTAATCCGCGTAATAAAAGCAGAAGTTTGAACAATATAGAAAGGCGGGTGAGTCAGGAGAGAAGTTTTTTTTTTGTTATTGATTGGATATGCATGTGTGGAAACGAAAATGTTGAAAGTGAGATGTATGTTTTTCTTCCTTCTTTCTTTCTCGTTGTGAATATAACTCATACTAATAATCAGAGGCCGTTAGTCCCGCACCGCATATGGTTTATGCATTGGTCTTTTGCGCTAAACCCCAATGATGATAATAACGCTGATGATGATAATAAGGATAATAATAGTGATGATAATAAAACTATTAATAATAACAATAATAAAAATGATGATAATAGTAATGATAATAATAAAAACAATAACAAAAATGATACTGATGATAACCATAACAATAATAACGATGATGACAATAATCATCATAATGATAATGATAAGTATAATAATGATAATAATAATTATAAAGTATAATGATGATTATGCTAATCATAATACTACTACTAATAATAATGATAACAATAATAATGAAAATAATAATAATAATGGAAATAATAATAATAATAGTAATAATAATAATAATAATAACAACAACAACAATAATAATAACAATAGTAATAATGGCAATAATAATAATAATAATAATAATAACAATAAAAGTATTGATAATGACGTAATCACTGAGATGACCTGAGATAACGTATAGTCAAAAGCAAGGGACTTTACCCACTACAACCCCCTAGTGAAGAGATTATTAACTTGGGGTCCATGAGTGAGTTTCAGGGCGTGCGTGAGAATCAGATGTTTTAACATTACGTTTTGACTTAAAAGGAAGATGTTCTCTCTACACTGTTTTTCTTTAAAGTTTAATAATACTGTCTATCTCATATATGTATGATATAATCAGCTCTCAAATAAAGTACATCATACTCATTACACGCAAAGTTGTCTCTATTGGCAAGCTTCCTGGAAAGGGGATCCACAATTTTCATCGGATTCTTAAGGGCCATCGTGACCCTGAGAGGTTGAGGCCGCTGCCCCGCGGGTGTCTGCCGCCCATCAGTGAAATGCGATTCCATCCTCACGCTTCTCTGTTCTCTGACTCACTGGTACGCACGCCGAGAAAAGTGGCTTCACAGGCACAATCCGATATGAGGTTCGAATTCCACTTCTATAGAGACAGAGCAGATAGCAAGTATTGTGGAGTATGCACCAGGTCCCTATCCCATACCTTTTTTAAATGTCTCTGCTACGATCGGGCCGGAAAAGCTGTGCTGAAGGAGGACCGAGATGGAATACTGACGTCGCGAGCCTCAGGAAGGTGTGAAGTGATAAACTGATATGTTAATCCGCATTATCAATGAGTTTTTTCATATGATCTGAATCAGATTGTCGACAGTGGTTTCGGTCGCTGACAGACAGATGGCGTGCGCTTCTGTTTTCACATGGTTGTTTATATGTACCGTCATCTTTATGTCTATCCATGCATATATCCATATATATATATATATATAATATAATATATATATATATATATATTATATATATGTGTGTGTGTGTGTGTGTGTGTGTGTGTGTGTGTGTGTGTGTGTGTGTGTGTGTGTGTGTGTGTGTGTGGCGTGGGTGCGTGGGTGTTTTAGTAGACGGGACCATATGGAAGGCTGCGACGTGGACTGCCACGACGAGTCCAAGGCCTTCATAAATGAGGCACAACGCATTGCTGATGGAGCGGGATTCATGCTGAACAAATTGAAAGTATAACAATGTGTGTTTTCTTGTTCTTCCCTTCGGTTCTACTTACAAATTGTTGATGGTAGCCACTACGATTAAGAGGAAATGCAATGTGCCGAAGAAAAACATAAATGTCCAGTGTTTATAATTTAGAAAAAGAAAGAAGTAGGAGTAGAACAAAAAGTAATATGTAATTCGTGACGTAATGTTTGGCTTATGGCAGGTGAAAGCCCTCTCGTTGGAAACGTGTTTGAACTGATGCAACAGCAAAGGGGTTGGGATTAGTCTTGCATGCGGTATGTTTGCTATGATGATGAGGTTACATTTTTTTCCATGTGGAGGGGGTAACGCTGTTTTTGGTCGGTGTTGCTTGTGGTGACTTGCTAGCAACGAATTGAAAGAAATTCTAAAAATCCACTTTCCTGCCGAGGAAAAATTGCTTTAAGAAGAAACCCTTTTAGGACATTAATCACTGTCTTTAAAATGCGAACGAAACGATTGATTCGCCAGACATCATTAAATGCACTTCATCGGTGAATAATAATAACAGTGGTTAAAACACAAATAACGTGCTAAACATCAAAGGCCATGTCGAGGTACAAGAAGCTATGGCAGCGAGATGCGTAAAAATGGGTATTAAAGAATTAATGATTAAATGAACTAATCGTTGAAAATCGTACAACACTCAAGGATATTGTGGTATTGAGAAGGGTATAGAAATGTGAGGGTAAAGCGGGTGAATAAATGAGGGAGGTCAGGGATTAGCAAAATGGACAGGGGTTAAGGGCGATCACAGAAATGGAGGATGCAGGTCTATGAGAACGGAAACCGTGAATATTTCAGTGCGGAAGAGCTATTAAGGTGAAAATGGGTGTCGGAGAAGTAGGAAACGAAGGAATTTGGGAATGGGACAAAGGATCAAGGGGAAGTATCAGGAGGGGAAGGACCAGGGGAAGGGAACTGTTGTGACAAGAGGGAGTTACGGGTCTGTCCAGGAAGAACGGGGAAGAAATGGGGTTTGTGCAGATGGAGATGGGGTGTTGGAAGGGGTGTAGGGGGAAGGGAGAAGGAGGAAGTTGGGTATCGGCAGTCACTTAAGTGTAGATGGAATGGGAGCAGAGAGATTGGAGGGAGGATGATCGATAGATTCGTTAATTCAAATTTTGAATGACCGCGAGTTTCTGAACGCGCATTGCGTGGGGAGGTCTCAGAGGGGACAGACGTCTGGAAAGCAGTGTGAGAGGTATGTGTAAGAGAGATGTGGTAGAAGATGGGATAGGCCATTTAGATTGTCTAATGTGATGAGTAGAGCGAGGAGGAGGGGAGGAAGTGGTAGAGATTACAGTGTCTGCAATCAAAATGGCCAAAGAATTTGATTAGGAAATAGAAGGGATAGAAATGGGAACTTCGGATGCAGGAGGAAGAAATCCTGAGATGTAGGAACATCTGGGGAGGAAGGGGAGGGGCGTTGCGGACAGCACTAGAGCAAGAAAAAAACTTCGACGGCGTGTTTCTTGTCTGTCTTCGCGTAAAGTGAGGCCAAGTTTGAATATGAGGATTGCTATTAAAAAGTATATTATGAGAGCCACCACATGTCTGTGACTGCGCAAAGAACTTTGAACGATCATGCCTAGGTTGAACACGTAGAAGGGCAGCAGGCTGTGGAGTGATAGCGCATAGCAGGGTGGCCAAAACGCCAACATTTCTGACACTGAAGGGGGAAGGATCGGTATGGTCAGGCAAGGTAGGACTCTCCGCCAATATCTAAACCATGTCTACGGAAGGTAATCTTGGCAGTACTGGTGGACTTGGAGCAGCCTCCGTGGGGATTGGTGTAGCGCTGCTTCATGGTCAACCAAGCAAGCAAGCAGGTAGTTTTCACAATCCTCGTCGTAGACAGGGCAATCAGCCGAGGAGATATAGACCGTTCCGGTACAAGTATTACGGGAGGGTGAGGCTGGGCAGGAACAGATTTGTCAGTGTTGAAGGGTCACAAAATAAGCCCATTTGGCTGGGGAAAAGGGTACTCAAAAGGTTTGTAGAGGTCAAAGTAGAAGGACAGGAAGAAGTGGTGTTGAGTGAGATGTAATACTGCAGGGAGACGGGCAATAACAATGGAGAGTAGTAATAACAAAGGAGGGAGTTAAAAATGAAGCCGATTTTAAAGGATGAGATAAAGTGGAAAATATTGGGAGAAATGAAGAGGAGTATGAGTCATGGAATTTTGTGTCTCAAGCATATAGCTTTGAATGTCTTCCATAGTTTCTGCAGTGGATTTGGCTGGAGAGTTTTGTGAGACAAAGGTTTTCTTATGAGGAGGGGAAGAGGAGACTGGTGTCTGATGAGTAAAGACAAAGGTAGGTGGAGGTGTGTGGTAGAAGAAGGGGTGGAACGTTTAGTCTGCCTGCTGCAGGTAGTGCGGGGAGGGAGAGGAGACGGTGCTGGGACTGTAGTTGAGATTGGAGTGTCTGGATTTAGAGTGGCAAAAGAATTGACTGGGGAAGGTAAGAGGTAGAAGTGGAAGTGGGGAAGTAAGTAAGTACAGGGGAGGGGGGTAGGAACATTGGGGTGGAGGGGGAGGGGCAGAGCGAGCGACATTACTGGTCTGAGAGAAACCTTGTCGACGTGCTTCCTGTCTGGCTTCATGTAGAGTGAGACTTAAAGCGTTTTAAGCAGGGAAAGTTCTTGCCTGAAATCTCAAGCGTTTTTCTTGCGAACTCAAGCATTTCGCTTGCTTTCTCAAGCGACCTCCGTAGATGGCTTGACTTGCGCTTGCTAAGTCAAGCGGTGTACCGTCACCATGGCAACGGCGTCGTTCGCGTACCGTACTGGTCACGATCCTTCGAATGCGGGCGTTGGCCAGGAACCCCGCTTAATATCTTATCAGATAAATAATTTTTTTCACGGTATCTGATTCTGTAATTTTCTTAAAATCATATTCAAAGAAATTGAAATTAACTGAAAACGAAAGGAGATAATGGAGATTACAGGAATAAAAAGTTTTACTTATGAATAATAAATGATTATAAGACGAACAATTTTCCTCTTATTGTTAAACTTCTCGTCTTTCTAAATCGAGAATATATCTGCTATTTTATGAAATAAAGAATATTTCAAGTGAAAAAGTCTGAGAAATTCTAGCAACATTCTTCTGTTGATATTATATTCGATGATTTGTTATATTTAACCTCATAAAATCGGATATATGGGAATGGGTAGGCCTATATTTTAATTCAGGGATATTCATTTGTTTTGATAACGCGTCAGAATGAAAGGGCTGTCAATCGGGTGTGTGTCATTGTGTTAGAGGCACTTTGTATGAATATAGGAGAAAATATAGCGCTTTGTTAAGATGTTTGGGTAGATTTATTTACTTCTCTGCCACCTTGATGCGGCGCTAGCTTGTCAGTTGTTTTGAATTGCGCGCTCAAACTGTTACCAACCGCAGCTGAAATAAACTCCACCCTCGACTCGTGCATAAGTTATCTCTTTCTGAGATTGTTGATGGGAATATTGCTTTTAAAACCCAAGTATAGATATTTTGTGTGTTATTTTGATATGTCTATGCTCATCAAGGACTATTATGATTTGTACTTTATAAAAAGACATTTCCACATGTCTGGCATCACTGAAGAGGGCCTGCCTGCCTTGGAAAGCGTTTTAGGCAGGGAACGGTACAGCGCTTAAAACGCTTTAAGTTTGTGTCCGAGAGTTGCCACCTCAGACTCAAACTTGTAGGTGGGACAGCCTCTATAAAATACATTATGGGGGCCGCCGCAGTTAGCACATGTACGTGTTTGTGCAGAGCAGTTTGATCGGTTATGACCGGGTTGGGCACATAAGGGGCATCGATCAGTGGAGCGGCAGTGTTTGACAGGATGTTCAAATGGTTAATGGTTAATGGTTAAAAGTTAAATAAATGTGCAAGACATCTTAGGTCATATAGCACCTTAGGAAGGTATAGTAAAGGGTGATGTCAGGTGATAGTTGCTATGCGTCAACCATCTAGAGTAATGTTGGAAAGTTGAAGATGGGTAAGGTGGTTGATGAGGGAAAGGGTTATGGTGGCTTAGGTAAGGGAATTGGATCAAGTGAAGGATATTTATGCGTCTGAGGAAGGAGAACAGGTTGTTATAAGAAGCAAGGATATGATGTATGTCTGGTCTGTGACAACGGAAACCGCGAATATTCCAGTGTAGGAGAGCTGTATCTTACTTATTTTATGAGTGAAAGCGTCGGTACGTGTTGGGGAATCTGGGGGAGAAGGAGCTAGGGGGTGTAAAGGGGTATCAGGAGGTAGGGAATCTGGGGAAGGGCATTGTTGTAGCATGAGTGATTCCCGTGTGTATCCGGGAGGGAGTGGAAAGGATAGAGGGGATGGAGGGAGGGAGAATGTGCCTATAGTTGGGGTTGAAGGGGGTGGGTTGTGTTAGGAGGGAGTATTAGTGGTAGGAGGATGGATATCGGAAGGATGGATAGTTGGAGTTGAAGGGGATGTGTTGTCTTGGGAGGGATTAGGAGGAAGGGGTGTAGGGGCGCTATGAGTAAGAGGGGGATGGATTTCAGGAGGAT